ACATAAGGGTGTCCAAAATGAGTAAAGTCGGAATTTTAATGCTCTCACCCCCTAGGATTGTTCTACCTCGAAAAAAATATACCCGATTTTTTTTTTTTTTTGAAATCATGAAATATTTAGGCGTCGCTCAAAGCGCTCAAAGTTTCGCATGTATTTTATATGGGGAAAAAACAATTTTACGTAGAAATGGTAAGGAATTCTAGAAAATCAATATTTTTCTATCGTGAAACCCTGGTTCTCTTCAAGAGACTTCCAATAATAATACCCAATTGTTTATTTAACCATTTTCAATACCAAAGATTTTTTATTTATACCCCTATTGCATTTTCTGGGGGTTTTGGCGGTCCTATAAATTAAAGTTATTATGAAAAAATGGTAAAAAAAATAATTGGGTATTATTACTGTGAATCTCCTGAAGAGAAAAATATTGATTTTCAAGCGACCTCTAAATATTTTTTGATTTCAAAACAAAAAAATACGGGTATTTTTCGGTATAGAACAATCCCAATTTTTGGACAACCCTAATATACATACATATGACCGTACCACCTTATAATCCCTGAGTCTAACAGGGCAATTCTGGCAACAGCCTTTCAACACATCACAGTCTTTCGAAAAACAAAAACATTTCGTATGACAGTCGTCAGTACTGGCAACTATCTTGAAAGCTCTTTTCTGCCTTTAGAAAAACTAATTGAAAAATTTGCTAACACGGAGGTCTTTGTGTTTACCTGTTTGTAGTTTAGCAAACATATTTAAAAAATTAAATAAAATTAAAAATATAAATTAAAAAATAGTAAATGAAATTTAAAAAAAAAAATTAAAAATATATAAAATCCTTAAAACTAAATGAATTAAAAACTCTATTTTTCTTTTTAAAATAAAATAATATAAAAATTAAAAAAAAAGAAAAATAGTAGAACAATTTATTTAAACAAAATTAGTTTTTATAAATTAAGTGAACTTAAAAAGTATTTTTGTTTTTATAACAATGAAATCTAAAAACCAACAAAAACTTAATAAACAAAAAATTAAAAAAGAATAAAAAATGTGTTTCTAAAAATTATGTGAATTAGATTTGCAAAAAATTGTTACTTTTTAAAACAATAAAATCAAAAAATTTAATTGAGCAAAAAAAACTAAACCAAGTAATTTTTAAGCAAAATATCATATACAAATTTAAGAGTACTGTTAATCTTTCCAAATCCAATGTTTGGATCTAAACCAAATTAGTATGGGACCACCTCTAAGGTAAAAAAAGACGATAAAACTAAGTGATAGACTGTAAATGCCGTAGATATGACGAGAAATGTAAAAGGGGACCCCTACGTTCGGCCAAAAAAAAATTCATTTTTTTCAAATTGCCTTGTAAAAATGCCTTTGACGCAGAGGTGTACGGCAAAATTTTTTTCCGCTACAATAAAATCTAAAAATCAACAAAAAATTAAGAATAAAATTAAAAAAGAAGAAAACATGTGTTTCTAAAAATTATGTAAATTAAATTTACAAAAAAAAATCTATCTAAATCAATTAAAGCAAAAAGTTAAATTGAAAGTTTTTTCCGCTACGGTTTATTGTACATACATACGTATGTACATATGTATGTATGTATGTTTTGCATGCTATCAGACGCTGATAGCGCTTTATATCGTCTGTCGTTTTGTATTTGTTGTCACTAATTGGTTATACACACAGCGGAAAGCAATGCGAATAATTCTGTGCCCTTTTCGATTTAATTTTATTTGCTGTATGCATTCCAATACATTGGTTTGCATTAAAAATACACGGACGGCATTAGTCACATACCCAGTTAATCTGGGAGCGTACGGTGACAAACACTTTTTACTTGTGTACAAACAATGCATACATCCATACATATTTATGTACATACATATAATAAAAATTTAAGTAACGATGAAATTTTAATTAAAAATGCCAGCCACGTTGATATGGTGCCGACAGAAAAATACACGTTTACAGTGGTGGGTAAAATTGTGTAGCTCAGAATTAAACATTTACGTATCTAAATACAACCATGAAAACGCTTTTATTCAATGGATGTATGTAATAAAATATAATTAAAAAAAAAAATTAATAAAAAATACTAAAAACAAAATTTTTTATTGAAAACCTTAAACTCATATTGTATAATTCGTTAATATTTGCCTCGAGTCTCGATATGATATTTGATAAACAGAATAAAAATATTAAGAATCAAATATTATTTAAAAAAAATGAAATAACAATAAATGAATATTTTCTGGAAGAGAACAAAAAGTAAAAACTTGTAATACTTTTCTTCAGTCAGCAATAACTTTCATAATAAAATGCAACATTGGACTTGAGAAATAATTACAATGAACTTTTATTTTAATCGGCTAACAGAAATAAATGATTTCACGAGCACTCGAATGAAACCGTTTTATAAATTTTCGTTACGCATTCTCCTATATGATAGTGGTCGCATACTTTCGCACGCTACTGTGCTTTGAAGGAAGCAAAAAAAGAAACTACTCAGACGAATACTCATAATTATAATTTTTTCATTAAATCCGAGTAATTACTGCAACAGCTGTGTAATAATTGTATTTTTAGTATTGTAATTTTACATTCAAAGCCTTTCATTGAATAATATCAAAGGTAAGTAAATACATACATTGCATTGCATTAGGGTACATCACTCGCCATACAAAAAAAAAGGTATTGTTTTTCCATCGGAATTATAAAATTTTCTATATTGTAAGACTTCCGCTAAAATATTTCGGAAAAATATTACAATTTACATGAGCTGAATCCATTTGAAAATGGAAATTAGGTTTTAAAATTTTTTCAAAAAATCACCTCAGATAATAGAAAAGTTTTAAGCTTGAAAGGTCTGCATAAAAGTTTTTAAAAATTTTATAAACGTAACAAAAAAATTATACTTTTAGAGGTATTTTCAAATCGGCGCAGCTCTCGTAAATATTAATATTTTCCTGAAATATTTTTGCGGCAGTCTTACACCCAAATTCATGAAAAATCAAAAGACTTTAACTGCTTTATAAACCGAAAATTTTTATATTTATAAAAAATCTATTTAAAAACTCAAAATTTTGAAGAAAAGTTGTCGAATTTTTCAAATTTTTGTACAAATTTTTGAAATTTTGACCTACATGGAAAATGATTTTTTTATTTTCTGTCAATTTCTATATAAAATTCAAAAAATTAAAATCATGTTTCGCTTAAATTGCTTTCGTGAAATTGAGTGCTCATGAAAAAATAATAAACGTTAAATAAAAGAAAGGGAAATAGCCACAGAATTCTAAAATGTCTCTACACTGTATGTGTTTTTATATATTCTCAGTAGTGCCGCATTAAAGGCAGCGCCGACGGGGCCGCTTGTGATGACGAAAGAACAAAAAAATAATTTTTCAGAGAATACAGAAAATATCGTTAGGTTTAAGAAGATTTGTCAGCACCATTAATACTTCTTGTGGAACCTAGCTCAGCTTCTTCTGGCTCTGGCGAAATTCTCGACTAATAGCTCAGAATGACCCCCGAACTTATCAAAGAATATGGAAATAAGGGACGAGGGCAAGTAAATTATTTACCCTCAGCAATCTGCGATGAAATAATAACCTTGCGGGGTGAAAAAGTACAGGCAGAAATAATAAGCCGGCTCAAAGAGACAAAATATTCGTACTAGTTACTCCATCTCTGTTTAAATACGAGACTGCCGTGGTCAGTCGTTTAATACAGGATGCAACATGATCAGCAAGTACAAAGGAATTCAGGCGCGAATTTCAAAGAAGAAATAAAAAATGGTTAAAAGTCAATAATTAACGATGCTGTTGAAATGAAAATATAATTATTTTTCACATGTATAACAGCTCCGGGCCACCACATTCTTGATCCGGCCCTGCTTCTCGGTGCTTGCTGCATTTATAGTTAACTCCCGCAGTCTTTCGATGTCGGGAAGGTCAGTTGACATTCCGGTAAGAAACGAAACAAAGTACAAAGTTCGAGAAAAATTCCTAGACAAAACGCCATAGATTGGATAAAAATCAGTTTCTTCAATTTTATAGGCATTGAATACCTCAGTGTCGACGTACTAGCAATGTATTTTTTTATGAAATTAGCACCCTGCGATCCACTTAGGACGTAACACTACTTATATTAAACACTTGGTTTTATAAAACACTCAAAACTTATTTGTTAGATAGAATTGAGATTTAAATTTGTAGGTTGCAAAACTTTCTTCAATATTTGTAAACAAGAGAAAGCGATTAAATTCTGTTTGCTTATTAATTTAAATTTTAACATTTTAGTTTTTAATGCTATAGTACATATTTCATTTTATATTATCTTATTTTATTTCAGTTATTTTTTATTCTTCTCAGTATTTTTTCTGTTGTTATATTATTTCGTTTGAGATTAATTAACTTTTTTCAAGCCATTTTAAACTATTTATTAAACAACTTATAAGGACTTGTTATTAATTAAATAAATTACCATTCTGCACATTTCATAATACCTTTCACTGAAGGCTACAATGACTTAAGTTTGTATTTATAATCATTAGTCAGTTATTTTCGCAAATTCATTCGGGCAAGGTTTAACTTTTAAGACATAAAAAATTACAATAATAAAATTGAATCCATTAAATTCAGGAATATAAAAAGATAGCAATAAATTCGCGCATAACTTGGTAATAATAGTGATTTCTTTCTTTCGCCCTTGATTATGATTGACTGTGTATTGGTTATTTATTATTATAAATTATTTATTTTACTTTTCTATTTGGTTATATATTTGTACACCTTCGCATTGCTATCAACACTTTCACGAAATACATTTCAATGAAGAAGTGTGTTAGAATTGGATGTTCACACGTGCTTCAACGTTGTTTATACATAAATTAAATATAAACAATCATTAGACTAGACTACATTTATAGTGATATGAATTTTCAAAACCTGTATCAATATTTTTCGCGCACACTCAAATCAAAACCAACTAACCGATACAACCACTAACCCCAAATGAAACGTCCGCGCACTTTGGCTGTTCACTGAAAACTCCAGAGCGTTGAAAGCTAAATGATTGTCGAGGTGGAGGTAATTCATACCTAGCTGCCGTTGGCTGGAATGGCTGAGACCTTAGCCAATAATGAATTACAAACTTATATATGTATAAATGAATGTATGTATGCACATTAGGGTGGTCCTTAAAAAATCAAATTAGCGATTTTTTCACCCCTGCAATCGGTAATACCACAGTCAAATGTATCAAATGCAAAAAAAATTTATTTTAATTTTTTGAGTCTCTATAGAGGAATCTGACTTTTGACCACTATGCGCTACGCCTTAAAAAAATATTTTCATCTTTTGATTCTGCGTCTCCAACCGGGACCAAAATTTATATGTGATATCTTCGACTATAGAAGTGTCGATTTTGGGTATTAGATGAAAAAACATTATTTTAAATTTTTGAGTCTCCATAGAGGAACCTGAACTATGCCCCTTGTGCTCCTCGCCTTAACCGTCTCCAACCGGGACCAAAATTTATATGTGATATTTTCGACTATAGTAGCATGGACGTAGGGGTTGAGGTTAGGAAATGTGATATAAAAATTTTCTTCCTACATTTAGGACTACCCTAATGTACATATGTATATATACATATGTATGTACATATGTGTGCAGTTACTCATAGAAGAAAATGTTATTATCAGCAGGTGAAACAAAAGTGAGCTAATGGCATGTATTGCTTGCAAATTCCACTTTTCGGGTGAGCGAAATGATGGAGAGTGCAGCTCATGCTCAGTCCATCTGATAATCATTCGGACTCTAGAACTACCAATCGAAATATTTATCTAACTACGCACGTACAGTGATTTTAAGAAGGCTTATTGAAAATACTAACCTCATCGACGTCACCGCAAGTCAGCCGAAGATCTGGCTCTTGACCTGTATTTCCTACTAAACGGTAGGAACTGAAAGGTAACCACGACAGTCCTTTCTACGATTCCAAGGGCTGTTGTTTCGGTGATCTCACCCCGTTTAGGTTGGCGAAATCTCTCAAAAGTTGTTCGTTCATGGGGCTAAATCTGCTCCGTATTCTTCTGCCCAGGGCTGGTATAGAGTCAAACCCTGGACCGAAACGCCCTAACACAGGGCGTATGTGAGAGAAGATTGGATCCAAACCCCACCTCGGTTAGCTGCAACACATGCAACGGGTGGAGCAGCCTCCGCACCTACTCGGGCTTAAGAACTCACCGGCATTGGACCACTTCGTTCATGGTCCCATGTTGTGCAAACTGGACCGCCTCTACGGCACTGCGGAGTTCGCCTGAGTAGCACAACACCATCTCAACCAAACACAAACACAACGCAACCATAGACACACGCACGGACACAACCGCACTCCCACTCCCAATGCCTCCAACAATCTGCTCGGTGTGTCAGTCCAGGATATACCGTAATGTGACATCTGTCAAGTGCAGTTAAGTATTGGCTTGTGCCACTTTAGGGCATGTTCAGGACTGCGCAACACGCATGGAAACATTTTCTGCTACGCCGCCCACTACCACCCCAAGGCAGCACCCTTCACAGCAGCACACAAAACAAATGGCCGGCAGGCAACATCAATACCACAACTCTTTTACACCCGAAATTGCAATCAGTCTCCCAAGGCACTCGAAGATATTACAATTCAACTGTAACGAACTTCACAGCAAGATCGAAGAGATAACAGTCTTCATGGGTCGACATGGAATATTGATAGCTGCAGTCCAAGGGACGAACCTGCACAGAACCTCAACCCTGTTTAATTCTGCCGGATATCATGTGTACCATAGAGATCGCGAGCGAGATAATGATGATGGCTTAGCATCCTTCACGCACCACACCGTGTAGTATCGCCTTATCGAAGCAGACATCGACTGCAGGTATACCATCCTAAAAGGTCAGAATATTGCTATCGGCCGAGCTAGAAATATTTAACCTATATGTATATACCCCCTGTCATCAGCTGCCCGGCAGGATATCACCCTGAAAAAGGTGCGCTCCACAGAGGTGAAAACCGAATGGTAGCTGGTGAGCTGGTGATAAAGCTCCTGACTTTGCTTCCGCGAAACACCGATCCAACGTCAACTTTAGAAAAGATGATTGGCACAGCTTCGCGGAAATTACTGAAAGCATCTTCTCTGCCCTTCCCATACCAACTCACTTTTACGTAGGTTAGCGGGATGCATTTCGGACACCCCTCCGAACTGACAACTTTCGTCAGGCCGATCCCAAAAACCCCCGTATTGGGGTTGGAACATAAGTGGAAGAAGTGGGAAGAGCATCTGAAAGCTTGCAACTTCACATCTGGCGTGAGTAAGTTTTGATCAATCGTGAGGTTACTGTCCAACCTGACAAAGAGCTATGCCAGAGTGGAAATCTCTTTCGGAGACCGCGCTTCGTCGGACTCGGAGCGTTGCGCAAGCTGTTTTAGCCGACAGTTTATGCTGCATCCCCCGTTGGACAAAGCTAAATGTCTAAATGCTTAAACAAAGCAGAGTCTTATTGACCGATTCCACTTCTTTCTCCGGTAGCGAAGACACTTGAGGCGATGCTACTCACGCACAACACGAACAATCTGACCCCAGCGAGGCAAAGTGCACAGCACAACAAATTTACAAATGTAACGAATTCGCAAATGCAAGAGCATTTGCACAAGATCCTGAACAGCCCTATTGTGATAGGATATTGATAAACTACATATTATAAAATCAATAAGGAAATAAATATCTATTTAAATTTATATATGTCGTCTCAATTAAAAAAGTATAAATTATTTTACTATTCGAATTTCAGTATTTCAATTATATTTTGAGACCTATAGGAGAATCACATTGGAGTTCAAGTTGAGAACTAGCTTTTTCTAAACTTGAGAACCAATCCTTTCCTCATGCAAAGAAAAATGCCCTTTTTGTTAAGAAACAACGTTGGAGATTTGCGAAATATCTTATACTAAGTTTACATATAAGTAGATTATCCTCATTTTCGAGGTTAACTCCCAAATCTGTGAGTAGAAGAAGTGATTAGCCATACAAAATTCGTCCCTCGTTAATCTGTAACAGCCGATTTCTCAGTTGATAAATAACTATAAGTTAACAAATAATTGAGGCCGGTTGCTCAAAGCCTGGTTGACACAAATAACATCGTTATCGACGTTTTCGACTTCATACATATAACACGGTATAGATAACATCGATAACGATGTTTAACCGGAGATCAGTGTCAACCAGGCTTTGAGCAACCGGCCCTTAAGTGAAATTAGTCAAGTACGTAAACCTACCGGTACGTAAACCTGAGTCAGCTGACACGATCTGTCTCACCATGTATATGAAAACTCAACACAGCATATTTTTTCTGTAGTTGTAGCCCGTAGCGCAGAAATCTGCAGAATTTAGATTTTTCAGTGTCAGCTGATTTCTTCTTCTTTCTTGCAGATGGTAAATAAGTAATAAGTTCTTATTCATAAAACGTTTAAAATATTTGTAATGTACTATCGAATAAGGTTTTTTTTTGTTGAAAAATAAGTACTTTATATTTAGCTAGCACCTATTATAGCACGTAAAATTGTAGTTGAAAAGGTAAGTTTTTGAAAAGGCATTGATGTGTGGCAGCACTGTAGTATACAGACAGCGTTTAAGTATGAGTTCTGCGTTCTTGACTAATTTCACATTCAGTAAATCAAAATAGTTAATTGTCCAATGTTAGCGAATTAACTATGAGTTAATCATCTATTAAGTACACAGAGAAACTGACCAGAAGAGATAATCTTTTGATTGTAATTAAACATCCACTGAGAATTCGGCTGTAATTATAAAATAATCTCAGATTAAACCGATAACTTTTCGGTGTCCAACCTAGTTTTATCGACTATTTTTGCGAAGAAGAGGAGAACTGCCAAATGAAAAAGTAATAGGGCTTTCGCACTTCGCGATTTTTCGGCCAATTTTTGCGTTCAAACGGGGTGAATAAAAAATGAGCTTTGATTGAGATTATTTTTATGTGTAAACATAGATTTAGTTCTCAACTAAATCCGGATTAGTAAACTGTAAATCTCGATGAAAAACATCGAGTTTGAAACCGATATAAGTCTATGCATCGTTTGCAACTCTACGCAAAATAGAACGAACAGGTCTAAACGCAAACCAAAATATTTTTTAAAAACCGCGAATTCTAATATTCTACATCAAATTGCACTTAATTTGTCAATTTGGCTCTTACTACCAAAATGGCACTTTCCAAAATAGTAATATTTCAATAAATTTTTGTAAAATCCTTCGCGTGTACTTCTTATTCTCAACTAAAATTTTCTAGTTTTTAAAGATTATTCAACTGGTTTATCTTATTTTGGCATTGCACTTTTGTTTTAGAAATGTTGGTCTTATTTGATTGCTAAATGGGAAGGATTAAAGAGGATTACATCATTTTTCACACTTTTATTTTTCTATTTGGCACATTTTGGCACTTTTTTCTCCTCGATATGGCGTTTCATAGCCAAGGATAGCTGGCAGCTCTGCATGCCGCTATTCACCGCTACTGCCATTTTGACTTGTTTGTTTGTTTGTTTGGTTGTTTACTTTGTTGAAGAAAAGCAGCGAAATTATTAAACGCGTTTTATATTGTTAAAAATTAATATAAAATACAATTAATGAATACTAAATGCGCGTGAACATTGTAAACATCGTATATTTATGAAAATATAAATGTTAATGCTCTTTTTATATGAAACATTGCTAGTGAAATTGCAAAGGATTTAACAAACTAGTGAAATACTATTACTAATAAAAGCATAGTTGTGCGAAAGCACCCAAACACCGATATAATGGAAAGCCAAAACAAACTTGCCGAATATAGAAAAGGAAACCGTAAAAATAATTTTAACCGTGGAAAAAATCTCAATTCACTTAAATCGGCAACTATAGAAAAAAGTATTTTATTGTGTAAGTTAGCTTTGGAGATTGACGCAGCTTCTGCGAAGCCTTTGGAGAATGAACAAAATCAATTGACAATTTTTCAATGGAATGACACACAATGGCGGACCCTCTTTCCAATTCCTTATGATACGCTAAAAATAGCACTTTCACTAAAAAAAAGCTTCAGGAATGTTTTATATATTGAAGCTATTGCTGGTAATAATTTGGCAGAAACTTTTCTGGCTGTTTTCTACAAAGGGTATGAGAATTTACCTGAAAGGATACGCTTATCGCAGGAGGAGCAAATGCTACTTTCAAATATATTCGTTAACTATCCAAATTCCATAAGACAACAAGTTAATTGTTCCGCTTCGAATTCTATGGAAATTGATGCTGAAGTCAATAGCGCAACGGATGGTAAGCGCAATTTAATACAAGAATATGTCACATCAGCACTTTACGATGCATTGTACCAAAAACATCTTGATTGTAAACCGTCAACGGAACAAGCACTGCCAACATTGCCCGAATTTTTTCGTCCAACATTGTGTGGCTATCAAGAGCGGGCGGTTCATTGGCTATTACAACGAGAGCTTGAAGTTTCATATTGTCCAAATTTCTATACAGAACTGCAAGCAAAGGATGGTGAAACAACTGTCTATAAGAACTTGCTAAGTTGGCATTTTGAATATTCAAAACCGTCAAAAATAGAGTTGGCACCTGGCGGCATACTCGCCGATGAAATGGGCTTAGGCAAGACCGTTGAAGTTTTGGCGCTAATAGTATTAAATCCACGACAAATATCATTAGACGCACAATTAGCAAAAAATGAATTCAGTGATGAGTCGCTTATAAAACGTCCGCGACGCACCAACGATTTATTTTGTATTTGTTCCCACAAATTAAAGTCCGAGTTGCGTCAGTGCAGCCGTTGTGCATTGCAACAGCATGTTAAGTGTGTAAGCCGATTCGATAAGAAAAAAGAAGACGACTCAGACTATCTATGTCCTAGTTGCTGGTATAGCGCGACAAAAGAAGCTCCATTGCCAGCTGCTACCACATTCATAGTGACGCCACGCAATATTAAACCACAATGGCTATACGAAATACAAAAACATCTCGGACCAAGTCTCAAAGTGTTCGATTACAATGAATTGGCGTTGGACAATTGGATAAGTCCGATGCAATTGGCCAGCTATGATATAGTACTTACCGAGTATTCTGTGTTGCGACGAGAGGTTTATCATACCAGCGCTTATTTGTCTGAGCGTGTTACACGAAATGAGCAGCGTTCAATGCGTCGTATGTCGCCTTTGCTGATGGTGGAGTGGTGGCGTGTGTGCCTCGATGAAGCGCAAATGGTCGAGTCGAATTCATCTGTACTCACTGCCTTGGTGCGTCAGTTACCAGGTAATTCAAAATTGGACTGAAGGAAATATGTACATATTTTATCTATAAATTTTCTCTTTCGTAGCAATAAATCGTTGGGCCATCACTGGCACGCCAATACAGCGTATCATTGATGACGTACGTGGTTTATTGGAATTCATTGGCTTTAGAGAGCCATTAGTCCCTATAAATTGGAACGGTTTGGTAGATGACTTTGTATTGCAACAAAATCACGCAGATCAGTGCGAGCCTCATCAGTTGACACTTGTTGATGTGTTACAATGTTGCATGTGGCGCAGCTGCAAGTCGAAAGTATACAAGGAGTTGCAACTACCACCACAAACAGAGCAAGTGCATCGCTTACGTTTAAGTAATTTAGAGAAATTATTCTATTCCGAACAACATGCGCTTTGCGAAAGCAGCTTTAATAATATACTGCAAAAGTATTTGGGGCGCACTGATGAGATGCTGAAGATATCACCACGGATCATGAACATTGTAAGAAGAAAGTTAATTTGTTTGTTGTAGATTTTTTTGACGTAATAAATCTTTACAATTCTTTAGATCTTACAACCTTTGTTGAAGATACGCCAGTGTTGTATAACACCAGTTGTAAATACTAGCAACAAGGGTCCATATAAAAACTCGGCAAATGTGCAACAGAAACAATTTTTGCAGCCGAAGGATTTACTTGCGCATCTTAAATCCACTAATGAGCTTGAATGTAAATCTGAACTGCGCTCCGTGGCATCCTCTTATAATGGTATGTATTAGTTTAAAACAAATTAAAGAAATGTTTAGTAATTGAATGCCTTTTATAATGATTAGGCATGGCAGCCATTTATTTTATAAAAGGCAATTTTGAGCAGGCAATTAAAAATTACGAAATGGTTCTTCGTTTGGCGCGAGAATATAAGGATATCAATATAACGTAATAGAAAACATATTAAATTCTACTTAGCATTTCCAATAATTTTAATTTGCCACACATAAATATCCTTCCCATGCAGTGTTGACAGTTTGTTACAAATTCACGCACTCTACAATATACAGCAGGCATTCTATATTGCGCCGCCAAAGACCATTCAAATGTCGGCCGATTTGATTTCAAAATATGACGAGGAGTGTAATGCTTTGGAATGGAAATATCTTGAACCTTACGTCTGCTCAATGCACGCTAAGCGAACTTCATGTTCCAATGCCCTGGAAATGCTTGCAAGACTAGAACTAAGCGCGGAATCTCCACTGTTAGAGTTTATCAGCCTACTTGTAGATGAAACTGCCTCGCAATCTCAGGAGTTCGTAATTACATTATTGAATCGTTTTCATGACGAATTTGCCACCTCATTTGGCGGCTCTTCAAAAATGGAGCAGTTAAAAAGTTTATCGGGTATGCTTTATGTGCTGGTTACGTGGTATAAGAAAGTGGATGCTGCACAAAAGCATTTGAATGTTGAATTTGAAAATTTAAAATTTTACACAATGAACGTCTATACGCGCGCCAAGAATACGCCTGCCATTTGGCGTGAAATGTATAAATTTATACGCATTGTCTACGAATGTCACCTCAGTGAAATCCTGGTTAGTATAGAAGGGAATAATAATAAATTTTTTTAATCAATTACTGTTTGCATTGCAGGAAGACAAAAAAGGAAAAAAAAAGTCGAAAAGAAAGTCGAAAAACTCGAAAAAGGATTTATGCAAACTTTGTCAAATACGAAATGCACTGAACAAATATGAATGTTTACTATTTAACAAGGTCATTGATGAAGATACTAATATGACCGAGGGTTTGCGAAATCACTCGTTCGAAATAGGGCTGATTAAGGGTATGTGTTGGCAAAGAAATAATAAAAAATTTAATATTTAATTTTTATTAAAATTTATAGTTTTGTTTGCCTACTTGCGTACCAAACCTGCCTTTCTGAGCCACTCGGAGCAAATGGAAAAACATTGGGAAAGCATTGAATGCCGCCAACAGCTTTGTAAGAAGCTAATAAAATATTGGATCGAAATTGAGTACACTGTAAAGGTCTATGATGAACTAGATATGTGTAAAATGCGAATATCTTTGGCGGAAAACGATGAGGACAAGACACATTTCAAACTTCTGGATTATGAAGTATTTTAACTTTAGTTATCTTTTTTTATTGTTTATCAGTTAAACTCAAATTAAACTGCAGTTGGATAACACCTTTATGGAGCAGCAAATGAATCTACACGAGGCTCAGCGACGATTCGCCATGAAACTCGCGCGCCTCAAGTATATAACTCATTTAGAGGCGGATGCTGCGCCTGGACCATGTCCAATTTGTCAATCTGAAGATGAGAGTCGTGTATGTTGGAATGCAAAAATGTAATACGTTCCTTCATTATATGATTTTATATTTAAAATTTCTAGTATGCCGTATTAGAGTGTGGACATCATTTATGTCTCCTATGTTTGCGCACCATACAGCCAGGGAACTCATCTAACAAGTTATGCTGTCCGATTTGCCGAAATCGACAGAATTCAAAAAAGTAAATTTATTTTCATTTACAATTCCTACTTTTTATTTACATTTGTATTTCTTCTATTTAACTAGATTTTATTACGTTACATGCAATGCCACAACGCCCACTGAAATTCCTATTCAAGTAGTAGGCGACTTCTCATCCAAAATCACCTATATCGTGCGTTTGATCTTGCAGCTTAAGCGTGATCACGCTAAGGACATGCAGCAACTGAAGATTTTAGTATTTTCTAAATGGTCTGAAATTTTACCAACTATTGCAAATGCTTTGAAGCAGAATGGGATTCGACATCGAATCAATTATACGCCACGCGCCATCGAGGAATTTAAGGTACGTACGCACCAGTCATTGTATTTGCTATATAATATTAAAATTGTTTCCATAGAATCCCCTGTTAGGTGTCACTTGCTTGCTGATGGCTTTGCGTAAAGGCTGTAACGGTTTAAATCTGATAGAAGCGACTCACGTCTTTCTTGTTGAACCAATTCTTAATCCCGGCGAAGAAGCGCAGGCAATTGGACGCGTGCATCGTTTTGGCCAGACAAGGTTTTTTTTTGGTAGTTTTAAACATATTTTGTATAAAAACTAACTATTCTGATCTGCTTTAGACCCACTACCGTCCACCGCTTTATTGTTTGCAATACGATTGAAGAGAATATTTTCAATGTCGTAAATACCGGAAAACAGTCGCAAACGAATTGGGAATTTAAGCAAATATCAGTCGAAAGTTTGCGAAATTTATTTCACTTGGAGAATGATGTCAGTGAGGAATACATATCTAACTCCGACGAACCAGTGGATGTGACATAAAGGCAAACAATCCGGATTTCGTGGTACTATTCAGTCAAAAATTAAATATTTGGTGAATGAACGCTATTTAAGTTTATATATTCGATCCAAGGCCAGCAACTTGTATAAGAAAACAATGTGTTGTTTCAAAAATATACATGTACGTTAAAATACATACACATTAACGTTAGGCAGAGATATATCGAAACACAATGTACGTTTTGCCTTAAAAAGTATTAATGTGGCTTTGAATTCCTATAACGCGAAGAAAACCAATCTGAATGGTAACAAATTTCACATGAACAAATATTCCCAAAACTTATAAAGCAAAACAAAAACAATTTTTCCCAATTTGTCCTTATTTTTCCCGTTAAGTTATGGGAACGTTTTATTCACATGGAATTGGTGAGAGGGCTGAATATGTCAAGGCGTGACAAGCCACATAGAATTAATTGTTCTATGTACGCATACATTATTTCTTTCTATGCATATAAAATGCACTTTTTTGATACCTATTTGTTTCTCTACAAATTTAAACAAAATAAAATAAAATTTTAAAATACGTTTTCGGCGGATTTTAAAATTTGCCAAAAACTTTTATTAAAGGAAAAATTTACTAATCATCCATGTAGTTTTTCTCTAATACATACATAAAAAATTAAAAATTTTTATTTC